TAAAATGCCTCAGCATTGAAGTGACCCTGAAACAGCAAAAGATAGGCATGTAGTGCGTGAGAAGGGCTGTTTGGAACGTATTTATTACATGTCGTTCATCAAAAGGGAGTAATAATTCTCTAGATTAGTGCTATGCTATCACTACTGTCCTGTATGGATAAGACTTTCACAGTGATTTTCCATTTTCATTGGTCTTTAGGATAAAATTGATCTTTAGTCTACAAGAGAAGACAAAAACAATTTCCCAAGGGAATCATGTTCACCCTGAGCACTGCTTCTCAAAATCACACCCTCAGATCTCAGGGCTATATGCATTCACTCTCCTTTGATACCAGGGGTACATTGTAAAGTTTGAGAAACACTGCAAGGGAGAATCCTTAGGAAGGATGCTTTACAGAATTTGTTTATTTAGGAAAACAAAATGCTGAGGAGAATTTGTGAGAAAACAGGCAGCCAAAATATTTGTATGATTTTAGGCAAACCAACATAAATCCCTTGCCAAGTACTCCAAAATCTCTCACCCAGTCTTTGAAGCTTGAAATTCCTTCCATGCCAGAGAAAAAAGCCTTTCAACCTACAGTTAGTGAGAATGCTTAAAGTGTACATACACTTAAGAATGATGGCACATTACATTACATTCTCAACTAAGATACAAGTAATTGAAATCAAATCTTTTCCTAACAGCAGACTTTAACTGAGAGTTAAAAAAAGAACAAGTAAGTTCACAGCGCAAAGTGGAGAAAAACAAAAAGGGAATCCACACAATGGGAAAAGGATTCCAGAAAGAGCTGTGAATCAAAAACAAGCTTCCTCTATTTTACAATTTTCCCTAAGGTTGCCATGAGAGGCCAACTTCCATTTTCCAGTCTAGCCTCTGAATTCTTTCCCTCCTAGACCTTCAACTTGCTATCTTGCAAGGAGACTAAGCTAGCTGCAATCCAAACCAAACTTCAGGCTATTTTGGTGGAAAGAAGATTTAAGTTGTGGGTATGAGATTATACTTATAACAAGTTTTAATTGCTTCTCCATTTACTTCCTTATTCTCTTCCTGCTTCACTAAACTATAATCTCCAGGAAAGCACTAAATTCTCTTGTTTATTCAGAATTAGTTTAATGTCTGGTTCCTATTGGCTACTCAGTAAATACCAGCTGGGTTAATGGATAAAATAAATGTCCAGTAGGCATTATGCATTGGAGTCCGAAGGACAGATGAGAAATATTTAAGAGTAATGGGCTAATTGAAGTATTTAGGAGTAATGGGCATAAAGATGGTATGTGAATCCATGGGCATAGATGGGTTTGTTCATGGACAGTGTGTACAGTGATAAAAGAGCCTAAGCCAGAAACCTGACATGGCAGCCGTGGTCCAAGATGGCCCACAGTGATTCTGGCTTCCTGATA